ACCTATATTCCTGTGGGATTTTCCATCACTTAAGAAAAAATCTTACCAGCTCTACTTTTCAGCAAACTTTCATTTTCTTATAGAAAAACAGAGGATCTATCCACTACCCAAAAAAGTAAGCAATGAAAAAAAAAAACTTCCTTGAAAATAGTTAAGTTGGGCAGCCATGCATTCACAACTAGAAAGAAGGCAAACTATAATTTAAGGTTCAAAATCCCATGGAAAAAGTATATTTCAAAGGATTTTTATATGATCTCTATGTTCTGCCTTGTAAAATATTCATTTGTGACTAATAATTTCAGCTACAAGGGGAAAAAACTTGATCACGTTAAAAACAGGAGTCAAAGGGCTCACTGCCTGTTTTTACAAATAAAATTTTACTGGGACACCACCATACTCACTTGCCTACTCATCATCAATGGCTGCTCTTGGTTGCAATCACAGGGATCATCTCACTTAGAAAGATTGACATATTTAACATCTGCCCTCTATGTAAAAATTTGTTACCCTATGCTTTAAAATGTCAGTGAGAATCATGAAAAACAATATTGTTAAATTTGGCAAAATAACATCAGAAATTCAAATCCTATGCTTTGCAGATATTATTTCATGCTGATAAATTTTGGAACTCCAGCAAATACTAAGGCATGCATGGAAGAGTAGATAATTTCTGGAGTAGCTCAGACTTCCAAAGTTCCTCCTCAGTTGCATATAATGGGGCCTCTGGAATTTGATGAACCAGCATTTACCATAGTGTGCTTTGCATGACTCCAGTGTACCTTGAAAAATGAGTTTAGGTCAAATAATTTTGGAAAAAAATGGTTGGAAAAAATTAAACTGGTTTCTTTTCCTTAGGAACTTCTCAGGGGCCTTAGGTAACCATGACAAACATAAAGAGTTTTCAGATCAAAAAAAGGGAATGTTTTTTCTCTAAAATAAGAATGACAAATGTCTATCATATTTATGATATTTCTAAATCCATAGCTAAATAATTGCAAATTAGCATATATGAATGGCCTTAATATATAATTTACTTTCTTGTGTTTTGAATATGAGTAATTAAAACAAATCTTAATTAGCTTTACATTTCAACACACATTCTTTTCAGTTCTTTTGTCAGTGTACTTTCATTCTGTAACACTATGGCCTAGAATGGATGATTTTTTTTCTGGAACAAAACAGTGAACAGGGAAACAGTCTAAAGAAACTTCTCAAAGAGCCTAGTGATTAAAAAAAGAAACATTCGTATTTCTGAATACAGTTAGAAGTTGTATTAGAATAGAAATCCTTCAAAGTTTCCTGAAGGTCTTTAAACAAATCATTATGTCATCCCAGCACAAATGTAAGTTAAATGACATACTAAACTTAAAAACAGTACAGCTCTTTTGCATAGAAAATCCAACTTAAAATATGACATTAGAATAATGGTTTGATTTCTCTTTGTTTAAGGTTTATAGTCTGACTTATAATACTTTTAGAAAGAATTTAGCATGTGTTTTTAGGAAGTTTTTGTCTCGATCTCTAGCTTATAGAGCTGTTAGCCAAATCAGCATGGAAAGGAACAAATTAAAGATAAAGTTCACATATATGACCCTTCTCCCCATACACTACAAATAAACAACAAAAGCTTCCTCAAATTTTTATGAATTCAAAATCCTTAGAATTTAGTTGGTGATATATTTATGTATCTGTATCTCACAGATTATATTATGCCTAACATATAGGAGGTACTCAAATAATAATAAAATAAATGAGTAACAAGTCCCCAAGTGACTATATTGATGAGGAGAAACAGCAGCCACAAGTTACAGAAAAATATTATTTTATAGAAGATTGATGTAAAGTATAAAATTTAAACTGCTTTTTATATTAATCAGAACAAAACTCATTTAATACAAGAACTCTAATTTATTAAAAAGACAGATTTTAGTTTTTAAATGTATCCTGTCAGTTTAGAATTGCTCATCAATAGATTCTTCCAAAACTGGCATAAAAAGAGTTGCAACTCTAGCAATTACCAATTTTACAACAGGGATGTGAAAGATATATATATACATACCAACTTCTAAGACAGTGTTGATCAAGTAGTCTTGAATTCAATTATAAAAACGTGAAAGTGATTAAAATGAAAATAAAAATCAGGAGAATCTAAGAATAGCTAAAAGCTGTTTTATTTTCTCTATCATACAGAATGAAAAAGAATCCTTTGAATTGGGAGGGTGATATCTAAACATCAAGTTTATTATTATTTAATGATTTCTTTATCTTTTAACTCAAGAGATGTAATATTCTACGATGAATTTGCCTCCAGTGATAATACAGTCACAAACATCATGGGGAAACTAGAAGTATAAATTAAAGGGGAATAAAAAATACATAAGCAGTTCCCTATACATATGAAGATAGATAACAACACAAGCTAGGTTTTTCCCTGGGTCTAATTTTTAGAAGGCTTTATATTTAAGATGATTACTGTCAAAATATATTCTTGGAATATGATTAAAATAATCACAACTTTAAATATATAAATAGTATAAAATATATCTTTAAAAGACATACCTGTACTTGAAATTACAAACTAGCTCCTTGTGAAAACAAATCCACCTCCATACTTTTTTCTATAAAGGATACTTGTCAACCATTGTTTCAAGGAACATTGAAATCTTTGTTAATTCAAAACACTGCTGAGTAAAGTGGTCTAGTATCTGAAAATTCAATTAAGCAACCACATTGTCAGCAATACGTGGCACAAAAACAGTCAGGATGTTTGAACTCTTAAATTTCAAACATCTTTCCATATGGTGTCCATAAAGTTATTGGATTTGCCTATTTCTCTGTTTTGACTAAGTATTCAAGATGGAATGGCTTCCCATATTGTTTAAAACTAAATCTTGTGTTTTATTAAATAATTTTTAATATGGGAAAGGAAATTTGAGTATAAAGGTGGTGAAATATTACCCTGTACTGCAAAGGAAGGTTGCAGAATCTGTACATGCAGATCTTAAAAAAAAACAAAACAAAACAGTATAAAACAGTGAAGGAGACTATCTCCCAATGTTTCCTCCTATATAATGATTTTATGAATAGAAATAACAATGCCATGTAATACATTTACAATTTTGTTTTTCTTTTTTCCCAAAAGAGGTTTCTGGATAGAGTTCGTTGCTGTATAAATGTTTGTGAATGAAAATATGAGTGGGAATATCTAGTCAATCAGGTCATCTGATTGCCTAATCATCCCTTGTCGAATTGAAAAACAAATTACAATATTGATTAAATCTAGCTGATGGAAGAAAATGATCCAAATCACATGTAATTCAATGCATTGTGAAAACAGCAAACGTCAGATTTCCATATTTACTACTCTGTTATTTATATAATTATCTAACTATGCAGATGAACACGATGACAAATATTACATTGTTTTCAGAGTAAATTGAGCATTGACTCAACTCTAACAAAGAGAGGATGGATACTGATACAGTGCAATACTAGCACGGGTCATAGTTTCTGCTCGGTGAAACCCTGGGGGTAGGATTCAAATGCTTTGGATCAAACCTTGAGCCACATATTATAAATTGAGTGACCTTGGTCAATTAATTAATCACTAAAGTATGTATTTTCCTAACCTTAAAAATAAAAATAGCAGCAACTGTCATCTTTCTCACAATAATTTTCTGGAAATAAATGAGAACATATGCATGAAAGTGATATTCTAAAGCTGCAACTGTGATGTTAAACATAAGGCATTATAAATTAGGCCCTGTGGAACTGGAATTACTTTTTCAGACCTCAAGGGTACAAAGCAACATGTGTATGGGTGATGATCTGGAAGTCTAAGAACATTGAAGCCTCATTCAAGGGCTTCAACATACTGTAATAATTCATAGTTAACAGTTAATTGTTAACTATTAATAATTAATAGTAGTTAACATTCTATAAAACACAGCAAAATCTGTAATTTCATTTATTATTAATTTTCTCCTATAAGTAGAGACACTTAATTAGGTACAATATAAGAATTGAGTGTTTTAATATTATTATAGATTGTTGGAAATAGAATTATGGGTCTATGAATAAAATCAAAATACAAATGAGGTGTATTATATATGGTACATAATATGAAGCCAAGAAATATTTGTTGAGGTCACGAAGAAAAAAGTCATGTAACTTCATAAAATAAGAATCGATGAGAATTTTGAAAATGTAGATGGATGGCTGTGATAGATAGACTCAAACTATGCTGCATTAGGGTTAACAAAACAACCAGGTAATTTTGCCTGACAGAACTCATAAAATTATAAATTATCACTTGTGTAAATTATAAATTACACACTTCCACTTGTGTTAGTTAAAACCTACACTGCAGGGTTGACAAGATACTATTATCACTTGTGGCACACACATCTGCACTTTCTTCTTTGGGGGGTGCTATGTGGAAAGTTACCATGGTTCTCTCTAGGTACTTCAAGATCTCATCAATGATCAGCTATCCTCAGACTTTTAACCAGACTTGGGAAATGGAAGTTTCACAATAATATCAACTGGTTACTTAGTTCAGAGAGACACACATCATCAGAAAAAGCAGCCCAGGAGACTCCACTTTTTAACACTAGTACAATGAGATATTGCCTAAAAATAGCAGACATTATTTTACTACTTTGCATATGAAAATTCACAAGATAGAGTACTATTATGTATGGCACTATGGTATAAAAAATGTATACTGAGATCATATAAAAATTAATTTTATTTGAAAAGAATATTTAAAAAGAACCATTGAAAACTACTTGGAAGTTTTCAATAATATGATTTCTCATTTCAAAAAGTATCTACATGAAATACAGTCAACCAGTGTTAACTGCCATAAGATCTTGGTCCATGCTCACACACACACAACACACTTATTTCAATGAAGTTAAAATTTTGAGAAGTTTTAAAATACCATCTAAAATTAAAAAAAATGAAAAACGCAAGAGCTTCCTACAGTTTCAACCTACCTTTTGTGGCCACTCGGACACAGTCTATTTTGGTTTCCTGTGTCAAATAAAAAGGGGGAAAATCACTATTCATGTTTTAAGACAAATAAAAACATCTGTAGTTCTATTTAAATATTGATAGAGAGCTCATTGCTTCAAGCATGATATTAATTACACAAGGATTACTCCTTGAACCACACTTAGATTCATTTTCTGGCTCCAGTGCTGCTGGTGGGCATTTCTGAAGCAGATGATGAGCAAGATGCTGAACACAAAAGACTCTGCCTTGTGTCCCTTACTCTCTTCCTCTAGACCCTGGCCCATTCCCCATACAAACACGATTGGAAAATAACTCGAGGTGTAGATTCCCCCCTTTCCACAGGTAAAAGTCAAGTCAACGATGTTATCTAGATCCGAGCTATGGAGGAAAGGAACCACGAAGGTAGTGGAAACTGTTCTCTACTGTCTAGAGAGACCTTATACGACTAACAAAGACTTTAAGATTATATTTATCTTATTATACTTACATTATAATAAGTATATATATTATACTCATAATATATGTATAGTTATATTCATTATGTATAAGATTAATTTATAAAACTAATATCTTATCAGAGTTTTGAGTTAATCTGAAAAGGAAAGGAAAAGTTCAGACAACTCAATGATAATTTTTATTTTTTCCATCTCTCTTAAGAGAAAAATGAAGATATCTAATTTAGTCACATCTATAGGAAGCATAAACTCCTATGGAACCAATGAAATGGGATAGAATATGCAAAAAAGACAGATGTTGTGAATCTCACAAAATTTTAAATGAGCGGAATGTATGTGTTGTAGCTATACTATTTTCCTGTAAAATAGTAAGCTAAGCAGAATTACTATCCAGCTTTTGGTAACAAGTAAGAACTGAGAATAAAAACCATTATGTTGATAATATACTCTCCCTACGAAAACAAATATGAATAGATTTGTTTCATTCCATAAATTTCTCAAAATGAAAAATCTAAAAAAGAAATCCCACCTTTTTCCCAAGTAAAAACAAACAAAAGCACGACTTTATCTCTCACTGCTATTTATTTAATCTGACAACATTCACATCAATAACCCTGAATAGCCTAAGTGAACAGGCATCTATAAAACTTACCCCATTGGCTCTACTAGCAGCTTGGAAATAAATTCTGTAGCTTTTATGAGGGAGAAGGGGAGTGTTCCAGTAGCCACTGTATGTCTTATTATCACCAATAGTAAAGGGCTGAGCAGCTTGGAGACTGTTTGCTGGGAATTCTGCAGCAAAGTAGTACTGTGAGTTCAGTATCGAAGCATTCTGGAAGTGAATTGGCACTGGGTAGCACTTTAAGATTTCTGTTGTCTTTTTAGTTCTTCGTGGACGTTCTTCCTCAACAACTATTTGGTAGACACTAGGGAAAAAAAAAAAGTATATCATCAGTCTAGATAGCTGGGCTGATCCTCTTTGATTTCAGTTTCATGGCCCACAAAATACCCAAGATAAAAAATAAAAAAATACTCTGAATATTGTCAATAATAAGCACTGAGTAAAGAGCAGACACTCAATTCTAGCTCAGTGCAACAGAAGAACAGTCCTTAATGCTCTTCCACAGCCCTCTCTCACCCCAACTAGTATGATTTATTGAGGAAAATGAAATTTTTTAGAAGTTGATATGACAATCTCTGCTGTTTAGGTGAACAGGACACTAAAATAATGCTTTTCTTACATGCAACTGAAGATGAATTCTCAAACAACAAACTCAGTTTTCCTACAAATGAAATTACAGTAAATTAGAAGGGGCAACATAGAATTCCCTTCAATGGCAGATGTGTGAATACTTGTGAAATCTGAACAAGTCACAAAACACAATGTGTGATGATTCATGTTAACTGAGGTTTAACTTCCCATATTAATACTCTTTTGCCCTTCACCATATTCAGTGAGTGGAAGGAGATAACATAAGAAAAAGTGAGATGAGGAATTGGAATTTCAAAACCAAGGCCTTATAGTTACAGGCGGGTTCCAAGAGTAAATCATGAATGGGCCTACTTGAATTATGTATAAACACTGGACGGGAATGAGCATCCTCCAAAGATGCCTGCAAGGACAAACACCCTATAGAGGAGAAGTCCTGCAGGTACCTGCCCATCTTTTCTCCACATCCCATTCCAATGTCTTTGAAAGTGTCAGTAACTATAACAGAATGGGAGAAACCTTGAAGGGACAGACTTTTTATTAAGGTATATACATTTGGGCCTTCCTGGTGGCGCAAGGGGTTGAGCACCGCACTATGAAGCATTCCACAGCCTCTGCAGCACAAGTTCGATCCCTGGCCAGCCAGGGAGAAACCCACATGGTGCAGCAGACCTTTCCTGACTCGCTCACTGCTCCCCTCAGCAGTGTACTTTAGTATATCTGCCAGTTCTGTTCCCCATTTTGTCTCTGGTGAATTCTCTCATCCCCCCCGCATCTCTGGCCTGTACCCCACCTCTTCTATGCATAAATAAATAAATCTTTAAGCTATATATACATTTACTAGAATGATGGGCATTGGGCCTTCCTGGTGGCACAAGGGGTTAAGATGCAGCACTATGAAGCTATCTGGAGCCACTGCAGCATAAGCCACTGCAGCACAAGTTCGATCCCTGGCCAGGGAGGTGACCATATGGCACAGCAGACCTCTCCTGACTCTCCTGCCACTCCCCTCAGCAGTGTATTTCAGTCAATATGCCTGTTCTGCTCCCTGTTTTGTCTCTGGTGAATCCTCTCATCACCACTCTCCCTCCTGCATCTCCAGCTCTTGTATGCATAAATAAATAAATCTTTAGAATGATGGACATCTATATAGTTTGTTGGAGGAAAAATGTTTCTAATACTGACAACAACTAAACCTTGACAACAGTTTTCAAAAACTGAATCCAGATGAGGTTGAGTCTCCTGGCAAAAAGTATTTATCTTTTTCTACCATTACAGAAAAAAAAAAACCATGACAACTCAAAATGGTGTTTTAGCCTACAGTTGCTCATACATTAATGTTGAGGAAGAAGAATAGAGGGGAGGTGTTCATTACCCCCACCTGCCTGGGTAAGGCCTGCAGAGGTCCCTCTCTGGGTGCTTGTCTTTGAATCTGCCTAAGTGAAATCACCTATTTCTGTGACTACAACCACTTGGCACATTCTATTACAGGAAAGCAGTAGAGCTGCCATTCAGTTTGCAATCCTGTCTAGATAAAAGTCAGAATGATTGTTTAGGAGACAGGCTGTACAGCAGGTTTACAGAATCATGATAAAGTGAATTGTAAACAGTGATGTAAACATTAAATAAAAGGAAATATGGATTTTACTTCCTAATACTACAAACTTTTTATTGGTTTAGTCATGTGAGATTGTCCACCAAATTTGGTAGAATTTTTGATGGATCCAACATCACAGAAAGTATTTAGGATGAATCTCCCTATGGCAAGGACAAAGAACACATACAGAGGTAAAGTCAACCTTGATTTCTTACTCTCTGGTCCCTGATATCTTTTTTTTATTTTAAGATTTATTTATTTTTATACAAGAGCTGGGGTACAGGCCAGAGGCGCAGGAGGGTGAGAGGATTCACCAGAGATAGAGCAGGGAGCAGAACAGGCAGATGACCAAAATACATTGCTGAGGGGAACAGCGGGTGCGACAGGAGAGGTCTGCCACGCCATGTGGGAATCTCCCTGGCTGGCTAGGAATTGAAACCACACTGCAGAGGCTGCGGACAGCTTCACAGCACTGCACTCAACCCACTGTGCCACCGGGGAGGCCCTCTCTGACTTCTTACATCTACAGTCAGAGGTGTTGATTATAAGGAACTCTTGTGCACTGTTGGTGGGAGTGCAAACTGGTCCAACCACTATGGAGAGCTGTGTGGAGATTTCTGGACCTACTAAACATAGAGCTTCCATATGATCCAGCAATTCCACTCCTAGGTATTTACCCAAAGGACACAGAAACATCAATTCCAAAGAGCACCTGCACTCCTATGTTTATAGCAGCACTGTTTACAATAGCTAAGCTTTGGAAACATCCCAAATGCCCAAAAATAGATGACTGGATCAAGAAGATGTGGTACATATACACCATGGAATATTACTCAGCATTCAAAAAAGATAAACACATGCAATTTGCAGCAACATGGATGGCACTGGAAGGGATCATGCTCAGCGAAATAAGCCAGAAAGAAAAAGAAAAATACCGGATGGTCTCACTCATAGCAGGAATCTAGAAAACTTAAATAAGGGACCAGGAAAATGAATATAAGAAAGTGAAAATCAAAATCAACAAAAAACTATGAACCAGAGACACTTTTTGGGGGGTGGGGGGCGGGAGGGGAAGGATTGGGGTCAGAATGGGGCGTTTGCAATTGTATGGGGGAATATAAAAATAAAATTTAATATTTAAAAAAAAAAAAAAAAAGAAAAAATACATATGCAAACTCTTTGGCACATACCCCATCAAGAAGTGGGGTTGGTCAATCTGAATGGCTACAAGTAACTAGTAGACTATAACATAAGAGACATGAACTCTCAAGGCTTTGGTCAAAGAATGCCATGCACCTTCTGCCTGGTTCCCCAGGGAAGCTGGTTCTAGAAGAGGCCAGCCATCCAGACCAGGCCCCTTTAGGTCATCCAGGGACTCTGACTCTGCCAGGCTGGATCACCCTGTGGGTGCTCCATCAGCAGTTCTGAAGAGCTCCTGGCCATGTGCTGAGCCATCATAGAAGGCACACAGCTCAGTGGCAGATGACTGCAACCCAAGAGACTAAGCAGGTTTGTTCAGCCAAGACTTCACTGGCCTACAAAATGACAGCTTAAATGACAGCTTAATAAAAACGTTGTATCAAATTGATAATCTTTTGAGAGAGAGAGAGAGAGAGAGAAGAGGGAGAAAGAGGAGAGAAGCCAGAGAGAAATGAGAGAGTACAGAGAGTGTGGAGATCTGGGAGGCTTGGTTGCTGCCAGCCTCCTGGCCCCCACGACTACCTGCTGGTCTGCCTGGGTACCTGGTTCCCTGATTCAGCATAAAGGCCTGTCAAATCTCTCGAAGACTCCAAGATTCTTTTTCTTTTTGACTGGTCTGGGATGCTTACCCCTACAAAGTCAAGGTCACAGTAAAAGGCTACAGCAGGGCCATGGATGGCCTATAACTCATGAAAAGGTGTAACACAGGATGCCATCAAATACAAAGAACTCTGAGAAGGTGAGATTGTAGGGGTAGGGACAGTGGTATATGCATCAATCTAGGTTCTAATTCTAATTCTACTAACAACTGGGAATTTAATTTCTTTGGGTCTTTTATTTCCCTATTAAATGAGAGAATTAGATGGCTCTCTAAGATTTACTATATATATATATATATATACACACACACACACCCAACATACCTATTCAACATACAAGAACTACTCACAAATTGGATAGTTACTTGTTTTACAAAGGAATTATTCATTTAATGAATTGACACTGGCTTTCTTCTAACAGTCAGCTTTTCCAATTTGTTTGCTATATGATATGATTTTTTTTTTAAGATTTTTTTTTTAAGATTTATTTATTTATTTATACAAGCACTGGGTACAGTCAGAAGTGCGGGAGGGTGAGAGAATTCACCAGAGCCAGAGGGGAGAGCAAAACAGACAGACTGATGAAATACACTGCTGAGGGGAGCAGCAGGCGGCAGGAGAGGTCTGCGCGCCATGTGGGACCCTCACCCAGTGGCCTGGGATCGAACTGGCATTGCAGAGGCTACAGGCAGCTTTGCAACCCAGAGCTCAACCTCTGCGCCACCAGGGAGGCCCCTATATGATATGATTTTTAACATTTTACTTTAATAGCAATGTCTGGGAAACCCATATACTAGACAAGTGAGAATATAAAGATACATGTGGAAAAAAATGTTACAGAAATTTTTCCATGCCAAAAATGCTATGCCAGGTATCTTGCACATAGAGGTTTTATTTTCTCATTTATCTGATGAGAAAAACTGATATTCAGAGAGGAGGTGTCTGATTTAAATGGGGTACAGAGCTACTTAAGTAGCAACTGTGGTTCTTTACCATGGGACAAGGCAATGCCAACATTCTTGTTAAAAAGTCCTGGTTAAGGCACTCCTGTGAAATATCTGCCATATGAATGTCTTCAGTTGATCGTGAAGCTACAACCAACACAAAAACCAGTCTCAATGTCCCATAATCAATTTATTTTGAGAATTTGTGTGTGATTCTCAATCACATCACAAGAGCTATAGACTGTAATTGTATATTTTCTAAAAGATTTATTTATTTATGCATACAAGAACTGGGGTACAGGCCAGAGGTACAGGGGGTGAGAGGATTCACTACAGACAGAGTGGGGAACAGAACAGGCAGATTGACTGAAATACA